TTAATATTGTATTGATTATGTATTGATTACAGGTTTGGCCGCATTCCAATAAATTGAGAAGCGAGTACTTCACAGTGGTATCAGCCACCTTAAGTTAACACAAACTAGAGAAGCACTCAGAGAGTGCAGACCTCCCCCAGGTGCGTATATAATATATATACTTTGGTTGAGGATGAAAAGGATCAGACAGCTCGGAGTTTCTTCAGAAAAGAAAAAAAAGGCCCTCATACACAATTAAAAGGCAACAGTTTGCTTTTAAATGTGTACTTACACCGCTGCTGCGTCCAGACGGTATTTCGGAATGTCACCAAAATTTAATCAGTTCTAAGTTAGTCCCTTTCTGACTTGTCCCCAAAATTTCGATGAAATCCGGCCAGCACTTTTTGAGATACACTGCTAACAAACAAACCAACAAACCAAATCCGTCAAAAACATAACCTCCTTGCCGGAGGAAATAATCTAATCGCGTGAAATGGCGCTTACAGTCAAACGCAAAGGGAGATCATTGCTGTTACATTGCCGCGACGATAAAGAGACGGACGGAAGGAGCGAACTGCGGTAAGTCTACGGAAGTGACACGGTGTTTGACGGGCGATTATTGTAAAGCAGAAAATTTATAGCTGTGTACGAGTGTGATCAAGCTTATTTGTGATTAGTTTTAGGTGAAAAGTAACAAATTTTTGAGGATGGGTACTTCTGATTAGCGAATCCGAAAAACTATTTCTGCACGCTAAGGGAGTAAATTGTAGGTATGTGACCAAAAGATTCAAAAACTACTAATGGCTATTTATATATTAAGGAAGTTATGGACATTTAAAGATCAGTAATTGGCGTCCCATTTGTTCCTATCAATTAACAGTAAAACAATAGACAAATGAACAAAACAAATGATCAGTAATTGGCGTCCCATTTATTCCTATCAATTAACAGTAAAACAATAGACAAATGAACAAAACAAATGATCAGTAATTGGCGTCCCATTTATTCCTATCAATTAACAGTAAAACAATAGACAAATGAACAAAACAAATGAAATGAGCCCATGAGCAACCGGGAAAGTGATCACGTGACCTAAACTTGCCGATACAGCATCAGTGAACAGCTTGCAGAACACTTTCTACACCTCTAATCATCGGGCCCCCTAAACTATGATCATTCAAAATATACACATGTACGATGTCTTTAGGCATTAATAAAGGATAGTGACCAAGTTTATTTGCAGTTTCGAACAACTTCAATATGGCGGACGGCGGTGAGTGTAAGGGGTATGCATCTTCAGGCCGACAGAAAAAGTTTTAACGAACCAATCACCATCAAACTTCCTGACATGAAAGATCAAACATAATACTAAGAATGCACTTACCTTTAAAATATGTCCAAATCGATAAACTCATCTGTCACACTGGAAATGGAACAAAATGGCGGCCGCTGGATCTGAGATGTGCGCGTACCTATAAATTGTTTGCAATTAATGCAATATGTCACGAAGGAAGATTTCTTGTTAGTGACAGTAGCGACCATGGCCCGCATGTACGCAAGTGCTCGTGTTTAGTAGAAAGGTAAAATAGGTAAACTAAATGAATAAACGAAAAAATAACATATAAGTCGGAGCTGAATCAAAGAAACGGAGTAGTTGGGAAGAAACAACAGTGTTTCATGCCCATTACATGTTATTATTTGGATTTTAAAGGTGATGCAAAAAGTAACTAACTCTGGGGGGTATAGCAAACCTCAAGAATTAATCGGTAATACTTCTCACAGAGACGTTTCGATGAAAACATAAAATTGAAGATATTAAAAAGAAAGAATTTGAGAAAATGTGGAAAGAGAAAACGGAGATATTAGAGTATTTGAAAGAGAGGCAGTTAATTAAAAATTAAAAGGATGTAGCTCATGCTAGGTTTGGGATGGCAAAGAAAATTAGAAGGGGATTAGGTCCCAAAAGTAGTTTTTACGATCAAGAGATATCTAAAGTTCCGATGATTCCAGGCGATACGGCTTACGTGACAACAGAATATATGATGAAGAGTGTAAATGCCTGTAAATACGGAGACCTTCCAGATATGCCCAATTCAAATTTCATAGCAAAAATGGACTCATTCGTCAAAGAAATACGAAAACCCAATATGGATATTAGACCATTTGATGGTAACTCTCTTGACTTCAATAGATTTATGAGACAATTTCGAACAAGGGTACTAAACTAGTGCATTTCCTATGGTGAACGTTTAAACTATTTAGAACAATTTACCTCAGCGGAAGCAAAGGAAAGAATACAGGAATTTGCGAGCATGAATCCAGAAAGGAGGTATGAGGCAGCCTTGAAAGAACTTGAGGATTGTTATGGGAATAATAACGTTGTAGCTCAGGTTTATATCAAGAAGGCACTAGATTGGCCTGTAATCAAGGGAAGTAATGTAAAATCTCTTGACAAATTTTCCATATTTCTCACGAGATGTATGATATATTAACTATGGATTCAGTTAAAACTTTAGAAAAC